CCCAGGAGCAACTTACCCTGACTATGTCCGCATGCTTCAGAATAGATTAAAGTATTGTAGAGACAAAGCCTTGGACTCCATAAGGAGATCCAAAGAAACTTCCAAAAATTACTATGACACTCGCACTCGCCCTGCGAAATACAAAGTCGGTGATTACGTGTACCTGAAGAATCACCTGCGAATGCGCAAGGCACTTTCACCACAGTGGAAAGGGCCTTACAAGGTAATTAGAATCAACGGAAACAACACACTTACCTTACTCATCAACCGACGTCACGTCATACATCATTATGACCAAGTGAAGCTGGCAGAAGCAGCTCCGTAATTTAGGAAATAAACACATAATCTTAAAATTACTCTAGACTTACCTTAGGTTATCTTTACAGTTCAGCTCAGAGTCAACCTAACCAGAGTTTCATCGAGCCAATCAACTCTAGTTCCGGACTCTACTTCGATTATTTAGGAAAGCTACGAATAAACAATATTGAACTTAGTATAGTAATACCTGTAGACATATCTCATTTCAAACCACATATTGATAATATCAAATCAGCGCTTTTAGTTACTGGAAATTTATGTAAACAAACCAGAATTATAGAGATTATCTCCATTTGTTATAATAATTTAAAACCATTGTCGGCCCGTTTCCAAGATATGAGTAAGGAATTAACATCAATCTCACATTTAATTGATAACAGGACAAAACGTTCCGCCTGGGTTAGTGGTGCAGGAACAATCTTAAAGAAAATATTCGGCACCCTAGATGAAAACGATGGCCTACAATATGACAAACTATCAAAACATTACAACTCAATGAAAAGAAATTAGCTTCATTATTAAAAGAGAATATTTTAATAACCACTTCTGTTTTAACTCAGTATAACGTTACATTAAGTAAAATAATAGAGAACGAGGCAAACTCAAAAGAAGCCATTGATAGACTTTCAGTGAGTGTTAGAAACATTACTGAAACCACAAATGGTTTACAAATACAAACAAATGTCAATGAAGTTATCAATGCCCTCGAGACATCGATACTTACTCTATCTTTTCAACTAGAAGATATCACTAACGCTATCCTATTTAGCACCCAAAATATTTTACACCCTGCAATAGTAACCCCTACACAACTCCACAAGGAACTAGTAGATAACTATAGACATTTACCCAGTGACCTTGAGTTGCCTGTATCTTTAGATATTAAGTCCATACATGTTATTTTAAGTATTTCTAAGTTAGTTTGTTTCTATACTAGTAATAAGGTAGTTTTTATATTGCAAGTGCCAATGGTAAAAACTCAAGAATATCTGCTATTTCATAATATTGCATTACCAACACCACACAATACTTCAAACCCAAACACTTTCAGTTTAATTCTCCCTGATAACAAATACATAGCAATGACCAAAGACAAATCCTACTATTGTGTTTTCAATAGTTTGGAAATTTGTAAAATAGTGACTTCTGGAAATTATATCTGTGATATTGAAAATGTGTATTCTACTGATGCAAAACCTACATGTGAAAGTGAACTCCTTACCAAGGTAATTAGCGTGAAACCTGCTCAATGTCATACGAAGATCCTCATTGGAAAGGTAAATATCTGGAAATCCCTGATCAATAATAAATGGATCTTTGTACAGTCAAAACCTAACAAAATATCGATAGACTGTTTAAATAACAAATTAAAAGAAACCACCATTTCAGGTACAGGGATATTAAGTATCCCCAAAAATTGCATTGTCCACTGTAAAGCTACCACACTTATACCTAAACAAAACAATTTTAATATAACTTCACCAATCAGACATTTTCCAGATTTTAACTTAATTGAAGACTCTTGTTGTTCCATAAAAACAGTATATGAAAATGCCAGTAATATACTCCCTGTAAAACTAAATAACATAGACCTAGATGATTTATATACCAATTATAATGATAAGATAAAGTCTATTTTAAATGACCTTGAATTTGTAACAAATCCAACAACCCCTCATATTGTAACATATGGTAAACACTATTCTACACTGGCAATTGTAATCTTTATACTTATATTTCTTAATTACCTAGTTTATAAGAAAATTTGTCAACGATATAACCGTTCCCGTAGGAATAGAGCAAATATTTGTATAACATCATCTCAGCCTGAACCTTCAATAGAAATGACAGATAGACAAACAGGTTTCGAAGATAGTACACCTAATACAAGTAATATTGCTCCACTTAGGGTAATAATATAACAGAGACTTTGAACCAACCCCAAAGCCTCTTCTTAAAGGGGGAGGTGTTATATCCCTGATATGTAAGGGTTTATGCTGGGATGACATAAGAAATGCATCATCATCATTATTATATCTTAACGTGTAAGGTGGCATGCCAGACCCCTCAGTCTGAACAAGATCTCCGAACGGTACGGTTGTATACTCAGTCCTTTAATTAATTAAAATAGTTTTAATATAAAATTAGTTTTTTTTAAAAAGAAATCCTAAAGGACTCTCGTAACAGTTCGCAAATGCGACTGCCGGGCAAGGGGTCTCGGGTTCGATTCCCAGGTCGGGCAAAGTACTACTGGGTTTTTAAAAAAATTTTCAGTGTTAGCACCGAGCCTGGAATTGTGCCCGGTATATGGCAATAGCCTCACCCCCTAACATATGGTCCTCATAACATAAATATTGAAAAGTGGTTGTTACATTGTACAGTGACATTAAGTGCCGTAATGTACTACAAACATAATTGTAAACTGACCAAATGGGTTACAGATAAACAAACATTATGAATCAAGTAGACAGATTTTGCCAACGACTTTGTTCTCTGACTCTATAGCGTTCGTTAAGATAAAATTAGGGTACTTTTGAATAGGTACCTTTTTATCAATATGGGCATAGTAAAAACGGGAAACACGTTGTTTTTATCATACTGCATTTAACTGCAGTTTGTTATATAAAGTTGACTCCGTAACTTTACCGCAACAATTTTACTACAAAAGGAGTGGAGGAAAGTTGAAACTAAACTTTTCTGAAATAATAATTGCTTTGTGAACTTGTACCGGGAAGTTAAATAAATAAACTGAGACAAAGACTATTCAACTTTGACTTTGCCGAGAAATTATTGTTGAGGAACCTATTTTATGGAAAACATTTTACTATAATTTAATAGCTGACCCGGCAAACATAGTACCACCTAAATATTTTTCTCACTGGACTGGAGTTCCACGTAGATTACAAGACTAAAATCAGCCAAATCGGTTCAGCCGTTCTCGAGTTTAAGCGAGACTGACGATCGGAAATTCATTTTTATTTATATAAATAAGATAACAATTATATAATTACAGTAATGTAGCTACTTAATATTTTACATTACATTATATACATTAAGTGCCGTAATGTGCACCTCTGCCTACCCCTTCAGGGATAAAAAGCGTGATGTTATGTAGTTGAGATTTTAATAAATCTAATAAAACACCACTATGCAATTTACTGCAACATGTACATACAGTACAGTAGGCTGCGCGACATCGCCGCGACCGCGCACGCTGCTCATGAGGAAATATCGAAACTAGTATAGCTTTTCTCAGTATATTCACGTGAGTAACCCGCAATTTGTAGGTAAGTTAATATGTCTCACGATAGTCATTATAAAACCTACTACATTTTACTTACCTCTGTATAAGTAAGTACATACATACATACTATTTCCATATGAAATGTGAACTGCAGACATTGATATCAATACAGATAGAGTGTCAAAAATAGTATCACATGCCAAAGTCAATGACAAAGTTCAAATATATTTCGAAAAATTTATCGCGACCTCCATGCGGTCAGTCCAACACTTATCACAAAGCTACAAGACTCAAAATGCTTTGATTGGACTTAATTATTGTAGTTCTAAATGACAATTTGTTGATATAAATTCTCGCGCCCTCACAAGATAACCTCTCTTTGATACACGAACAAGTTATCAAAATGATATAAAATGAACAAATTTTATGACAGAAAAATCTACGGAATGTTACTTCTAATTCATTTTGTTGAGAATTTCAGAGTAGTAACTGGATTGGACTACTAAAAATTAAAACTACATAGAAATCAAACTGGAGTAAAAATGTATGGGTCCCACACTCACATCCACCACAGATCACACTATGTACTTCTGTTTGGAAGGTATCATAGATTCATAGCGATTGTTAGGGAACCACCATACCTGTAAGGAACGTATAGCGCATCCTAACAAAAACATGTTAATATACAGAGAAGTCCGGGTCAGAATATGATGAGCTTTGGTACTCACAGCTGTAACGGAGGTGGGTGTGTCACCAATATATTGCCCACCATCCTTTATTTTAAAATAGGAAATATGTAAACGAATGCTTTGTAGGTAAAATGGTAAATCAATTACAGGTAAAAGTTTAAATTAAATTAAAATGCATCTCAATAATTTAGAGACATATTATGAACTAAGTGTGTGCTCGAATTAGGTTGCACATTATAATAGCATGCACTGAACATTTTACATTAATTTAACATATATGGTAACGTCTACACAACATAATTATGATCGTAAAATATACAATGTATAGTACACATAAATACTACAGATGTTTCAGGAAACAATGTAAAATATAAAACTGTGTAATGTGTTTCTGCGATAAAGGACAAATCTAATGTTACGTAACTACGCAGTAGTTGTTCAGTGAGGCTGTTGGTGAATATGCAGGTAGTTACTTGATTTTTTTGCCTGTTTTATACATCATTGTGTATTTGTAAACTAGAACCATCTTTAGTTGTATAGTGCAATAAATAAAAAAAACGTGCTTGTAATGTCAACTCTATAGTTTCATTAAATCCGTGTAATGTCTGAGTGTTGGCGATTAGTGTCATCTTGGCACTAAGCGCCGTCCGCAGCGTGCGAGCGACAGTGGTCAGTGGCGGTCAGTAGTGCTCCTTGCGACAGTACAGTGGTAAACGGTAGAATAGTCCTAAAGTTGTACTAGTACTATAATGGGTGTTGTCGACGAAAAAGAGGCCGTTAGGCCCAGTAAGTATTTAAAAAAAATTAAAACTATAATTTTGTTATTGGTAATTCATAAGTACCTGTCAGCTGTATAGCTATTATTAGATCGCAAAATAGTGGATGAACAAATTAAAAAGGAAAAAGTAATACTTAGTGTTAGGTTGCAAAATTCGATCGAATTACGTTTGCGATCAAAAAACTATCAAAAACCATATTATTATTTAAAGCATATAAAATTTTCAAGTAACATGATATCTAACACAAATTTTACAATGAGAAACGGATTAATCTAGGTATGTATATAAACACAAATGAATTACGGTTCGTTAGTCTCGCTTAATCTCGAGAACTGCTGAACCGATTTGGCTAATTTTGGTCTTGAATTGTTGTGGAAGTCCAGGGAAGGTTTCAAAGGTGAAAAAAGAAATTAGGCGGTACGAAGTTTGCCGGGTCAGCTAATGTGTAATATACGTATTATTTTGTAGTAAGTTTCCAATATGAATATTGAAACTAGAAGTCTCGGGTTCAATGCCTGTTATCCGTAACGTTGTGTTTGAAATTGTACTTGTTGAATAATAAAAAATATTAGCCCCTTCCATTACCTGGGACTCATTAGTAAAAAGTGGGTACTGTGCTGTTTGATGTTTACAGACCTGAACATATTCATAAACATAATTTAATATATAAATTTTGTGTAACACTTTACAGAAGGCTTGGGCATCAGGCATGTGCAGACAGTGCTGCTGTTCCTGGGGATGCTGTTTGCGTTCACCATGCGAGTCAACATGAGCATGGCCATCGTCGACATGACAGACGAAAGGAAGGAATTTGTGAGTTACCAACATGCCCTACAAAAAGACTAATCAAGTAAAATAATATTTAGGTAGCTACATAAAGCCTACCATTAGAATTTTCAATTTTCGAAAATACTCAGTGATGGCTCAGAATTTAAAATTGGAATCTAAGCTCATTCCTTATTCGACCGGGTTCATAATAAATTTTATAATTCGTGAAAAGTAATCCTGCACTTACTACGCGTGGTTGGAGTAGCGTGCTACATGCGTAGCGCATTTGGCTACGACCGCTACGAAACCCGTAGCGGGTATGGTTCCCGCGTAGAACCAACATCATTGGTATGCTAATAGGGACTAAGCTCCGGATATGGGAGGAATGTGTTTTTATTATTAAATACTTTAACAAAACATAGAATCACCCAACTTAACTCATCTTGAACTACAAGTCTGTCAAAAACATATACTATGAATTGATTTCTAGTACTTGCAGTATGGTTCATCAACACTTGCCAAAATCAATGCATAATACATAAACCTCTACAACACGTCTTTCCCATCGATACTTAAAGTTTATTTACCCGCGATTTAAGAGGCCATTATCTCCGAATACCTACACTACGAGCCACAAACTTTGTTATCTCACAAACTGGTTTTATGTATTAATATCAGCTGAACAGTAAAGGTTATCATACAATTGTACACTGAAACATTAAAAATTGAATAAAATTTATTAAAGGAACAAGGATTTGTAATTGCCTTGCAGTGTCCAATTTATAGCCGTCATTAGTTACTGATTCTTGCGGTATAAGTACATTAATATCATTTTCTCAAAGATAAAAATAATAATGAAGGACAAAGTATGATCTATGATGACTGTTATAGTCATTTCAATAAAATAAATTAAGTAAAATTTACTTCCGGAATAAAACAACACAGTTATAAGAATAACAGTGTTATTGTTCTATTTAATAAAAATAAATAATACAATACAATGCAAATGTCAGACTAAAATAATAAAAAAGTCAATTAATAACTCCACAATTGTAATTCTGATAAGACATTAATCAGGTTCTGAAATCGAATATGAAACTTTTGTTACAAACGAATTTGTGGAAACATTTAGTTTGATTATAATTTAAATTAATTTGACTGTCAGTTTTATTAAGTTTATCAAGTTGTAACATCTGCTTACAATTCTAATTTAATGACTTATTATAGTAGAAATTGTATTATTGTAAAATTAATTACCGACTGCGTGTTTCAGAACATTATTTCGATTTGGTTTTCAAAATAGTTCTATACATAATCTTGTTGTACATATGAATGTATGTACAAGTAATGTTCGTTTAATAACAGTTTGTATTGTTAAATCTTTGCATGTGTAAGACTATTTAATCTTATCAGTCGAGTCAATTAATTGGGTCGTAAAATTAAAACTTGAAAGATAACAAAAATAACATAACAAAACACTTATCGCAGTACAACATAATATTGTGAATATAAAATTGTGAGTAACATGTAGGGACCTATACAAGTATCTCGGCGTGGCTTCACTTATGCTCAGTGTAATTAACATTAATCTTAAAAACATCGTTTTGTAAAATGTTTATTATGATATTTATTAATGTGTTTATTTCACTTTATGAAAATGGTTGTCCAATGTTTATCTCGAATACACAATACTTAAAAGATAGCCGCAATAATTTGTGACTATGTGCAAATATAGAGAATAGATTATTTTACTAAAATTTTTCATTACAGTTATAGAAACCTAACAGTTGCTATTGTCCCCATTTGCTAAACTAGTAAATGCATGAAAAAAAAACATTTTTTCTTGTACAAAATAATTAAATGAAACTAGCGTGGAAAATTTTAAAGTAAGATAATACTCTCAGTATCTCCGAAGATAAAAATTAAATAATAATGTTGTAATAACAACAGTTTTACGATTTATTTATACATCAGGAGCAGTGCGCATTAATTTATTACAAGAAGTATGATTTGATTGCAAGTAGATAATGTAGTTAAAGTTACGGATCATAGGACTGACAACTTGACGTTGATACGACGACTTCACACACGTGCATATTCAAGCGTGACTACTAGCAATAGATAATATATATCAGTGTTATAGGTCCCGCTATTTACAACATAATATAAAATACCATGTTTCTGACTGCCTCGTTGGTCGAATGGTCACAAGTGCGACTGCCGGGCAAGGGTCACGGTTTCGATTCCCGGGTCGGGCAAAGTACTACTGGGTTTTTAAAAATTCTCAGTGGTAGCACGGAGTCTGGAATTGTGCCCATTATATGGCAATAGCCTAATAACATAAATAATGAAAAGTGGATGTTACATTGTAAGTACAGTGGCATAATGTGCACCTCTGCCTAGCCCTTCGGGGATAAAAGGCGTGATATTATGACCAATGACCATGTTTCTCATGTTCTATTACTAATTTAAACTTTACTTAAACAGTGAATTATGAAAATAAATTTACTTTCACTTCACTTTCACAGTCAAATGAGTTCATCTATAAAGTTCCATTTTCAGGGTCAATATTATGTATGAGCTGGATACAAATTAAGCTAGTTGATATTTAGACGGTACTAATATTTTCGTCAGTACTATTTTTGGCCAACATTTCATAAGCAAGTATTTCTTTTTTTTTTAATAAATAATAAATTGAATTTCTCCACGGACTCGTGTCCGTGCCCTTGTCATGTTACAAGTACATAATTGTCATGGTCAAGTATATTTTTTTTTATATAAATATCTTACATGCTACGCCTACCACCATCACTACACACAGTACTTTATGTTGTTACCTAATTATTATAGTCTTATTATCTTAGACTAACCCTACTGAATCAGCCCACCAGCACGATGAACGAGCCGACCTGTTCCAACAGAAGGCACCCGTTCACGGGTATGACGTGTAGGCCAGCAATCGGTCCGATCAACCATTTCGTAGGGAACGGAACGACCCAGCCCACAGCGACACCGACTGTAGAACATTTACAATGCATGACGTCCCCGCACACGTGGCAGTAAGCCAATTGCAGTAGTGCTAGTGGTTTTTGTTAGTCTTATTAATAAACTTATATTATTTTACATTTATTACATTATTAATAGATACAATTTTTAGCGAACACACCGAAACATGTAAACAACAGCTCTAATCCATGAACTTTTTTTTTTTTTTGATATCTGGGCCTTTTCAGCAGTTGTGCAGCTTTACGAACCGTCCCCACCCAGAAGGGCGCCCACAACCGGCGCATCTCTATTCTTGATTGCCATTTTTAGATTATAGTCCAGGATTCCCTACTCACCCTCACCCAGCACCCGTCTGATTATTTTGCTGATTGCGTCATCATTTATGTCCGTGTAGTAGACACAACTGTCAGTGTGACGCGATATAGCTACCACGGCGTGAGGTACACTGTCGTGTATCCGCTGTTTCCTCTCCGCTGGGTTCACAATCACCACTGCCGCATACGACAGCCCCTGGGCCTCGTGTACTGTGAGTACTCGTGACCCCATACCCGATCCGTATCCCTGGTTTTTGAGGGATTCCTTTTCTACCTGAGTGTGTACCAGGTATAACGTGTTCGGGGGAGACATCGGGATCCGCGCCCTTGAAAAACTTTTTAACTTAAGGGATCTCACTCTTGAGTTAGACGAGTATATGACACAATACACAATACCAAGAGCATATGCCACATCCATTGGGTTTCTGTGAGTGCAGAGAAGTTCCCGGGTCACGGCCACGATGTGTGCAGGGCGGGTGTATATGAGCAAGCAAGTATTTGCAACCTTCATGTGCAGTATCTACCTAACCTAACTACCTTCCATAAATATAGCAATCAAATAATCACGTCCAGTCGTCACGCCTAGGAACAGATGAGCACTAGCGATATGATATTAATCTCATGAAATCAAACAATATCAATCTTATAATACATACCTACCAGCTGTGATTGTTTCCTTCCGAGAACGCTATCTCGTCACGCGATCATCTCAATGAGAGATCAATGTGTGACATCAATCCGAGCTCTGCACGTGTACACTCTTGTTGTACATGTTGCATGGTTCATAGGTACAGGTCAATGCTGGAGGCTTAGGGAACCTTTATATTGTAAGCACCTATATTTTAAGAACTCCTAAATTAAGATAGATGACGCTAACAACATTTTGATGTTGTTATGTGTAATTTAAAAGTTGTTAAATTACATGCAGGTAAAGGGTTAGTTTAGATGTTCGTCACGCTAAGTATAACTTTTAGTTAAGAGGTGGTTGGTTTAACGGCTATACAACTAACGAGAAATAATATTACTAATTTAACTAAAAATCACGGCTGAGAAAAGCTGTAGGTACTAGTTGCGAGACAAAGAGGGGCTCGTCGGAGTTAGTATCTCACGGTAGTTATTATCAAAACAAATTATATTACTGGTGAAAATCTCTTTCTTTTGTGCAAAACAATTCTGGTGCTGCTACGTTAATTAAATCTAATTGAGACACAATTCCACCATCTTTTACTTTTACTATCTCTCACTGTCAGAATAAGAAACCTTTCCATAGTACATTTAACCTGAGTTATGTTAATGTAAATACGAACTCTTTACTCAACAAAGCAGTAGTTGAATGGAAAGTTTACGATGTCAGTCGGTCGCAGTCGCATGCTGGCTGGTGACGACCTCACCCCGCCCACTTAGATACGAGTGACCTTACTGCGTGACGTCACGTGTTGTGCACATCACGGTACACATACACACATACAAACGATAATATTGTTCATGATTTATGCGCGGAAGAAATGGGTGGATCGTCAGGTTGTTCAGATAATATTAGTAGATATCGAAGGTATAAATAGAAGAATAGGTGAAAGACCGACTGGGAAGATAAATGAAGCGACCTGTAGCTACAATGTGGTGACACCGGGGTTGTGGTGCATTGTTACTTAGTAAACGATATAATATCATCACGTGATATAAAACGTGAGACAGAAACAGTAAGATAAACTTATTATACTCGTAAAGTCATAATAAGAAGGTGAAGTTAGAAGCATAGAGGCAATCTGTTATAGGACTATGATTGTAAGTAGAGAATTAACGTGACAGCAATTGGTGACATATTTAAAACCCTCATGTCGCCATTCAATTTAAAAATGCGCTTAATTCGGGCACTGTAAATATCTGCAGGGCAGTGAATGCATTTAGTATAGTTCTGTCACTACCAGTTCTTTATAAAACGACAGAGATGGCACGACAATGAACTTGCATTTAGCAAGTTATTTATTTTTTATTTATTTATTTTCTCTCTATATTATGCCATATGAATATGATACAATAAACATTATACTCCTTTGTTAGAGACTGGAGTTCATAGTTTCATACGCAAATTTAGTAGCTTTTCAGTATTCGGGTGTTAGTGTGCTGCCATACTTATTTAATAGTTAGCTGTTGGCAGTAACAGACATTTTTTTTTAATTTTAAATATACTTTGAATGAGTCTGAACGATATTGAGATAATACATATGTAGCTACTATATAGCACACTAGTGGGTACATAACAACTATCAATCACACTTCACAGTATCATCTTGGGTCACCTATGCAACCATTGTGTAGCTTTTTCACGAAGCTACAATTATCACAAAAACATTCATTTTGCGTCTAATTTTATTTACTCAAGTAAACAACGAGCACAATAATTAATTCACGGATTGATTTATTGCAATAGACAATGTTGAATAGATAATTAAATCAAACCAATCGCGTGACGATTAGCTGGGGAGGGGGGATAAATAACTGCTTCATAATGATATTCAGTTCCAAATATAGCATTTTGTGTAATTAATAAAAAAAGAGGTTGTTACATTGATTTATTTACCCGCACCTCTGCTTAACCCTGCATTGAAAGTATTCAAAATCGATACTTTCATAATGTTTAAATCAAATCAAATCATTGCTATGGGTGAGTACCTACATCGTTAATATTGTAGTTACAGATCTTGTTATGTTGAAACACGTGAAGGTGCCATTTAATTAATGAAATAATCTGATGCAACAACACATCACACTTCAATCATTCAATAAAACTAATAAAACTCATAATTATTATTATTAAGCATAAAGTTTAAATTCCAATGAATGTTCTCAGATAATATTAGCACCTACACGTTTCAAAGCGATAGCTGCTCATTAAGGCAATACCTACGCAGAAGTATGAATGGCAGGTATTTTGCTTCCACTGATAAAATTGATAGGAGGTAACTATCGGAGGAGACTTTTAATTTATCTTCCGACCCTCGTTTATTAAGAAAAATAATGTTTAGACACCTTTTTGTGTTAACAAGTTTACATTTGCGACAGTTTATTATGTTACTTTTAAGTAGGTATAATTTCACTGTCTATGTAGTTAGTGGCTGCGTTTAACATAGTTCTCACAAAGATTTTACAGTTATGAAGATACAGGGGAAAATCAGATTGTATCCAAAACAATTTGATTATTTAATTATTACCTACTCTCTAGGTGAAAGAAAATTCTCAGTATTCAATATTTTCCATGTTATTAGCAACAACGAGTGGAGCTCCTTACTGTCGTTAAGCACCAACGAAGTACTGAAGACATTAACATAACAGAATCTGTGAAATCAACAAGATTACTTGTATAATTCCCTCAAATTATATTGTAAATACTTCACTAAGTAGGCTGTTGTAATTCCACGAGCTCCACTTTGAACTTGTTATTATCTTTTGTTAATTACAAACAAAGTTTCGCGTTGTCACCTCGTGCTCGGGGAAAACGTGAATTGTTAAAGGACATCATGAAGCTATGAATCTATTACAGAGGTATCATTGGCAATGGTTTGAGTAAAGAACTGCATGAAATGTTGTATCGTATTTCGTTTTAGGTTTTTAGAATATTTTAAAGTTTAAAACAACACACAAGTAGCCCCAATAAGCTCAATAATTTGCTTCTGTTCCAGTACTTCCCCTGGTCACATAGCGTGCAGGCAGTGATCCTGTCCTCCTTCTTCTGGGGCTACGTGGTGCTGCAGGTCCCAGCTGGTGAGCTAGCGAGGAGGTTCGGAGGCAAGGTGCTGTTCACCATCGCGGTCTTCGTCAACTCCATACTCTCGCTCATGCTGCCTTTAGGAGCTGCTTGGGTAAGTCACCGAGTTAATTAAGAATTGTTCGATTTTATTACAAAATAAAAACTTTAGTGTGTTACTACTGTTAGTGTTTGTACAATGGTATAATGTGCACCTCGGCCTACTCCTTCGAGGATAAAAGGCGTTATGTTATAAATAAAAACTTTAGGTATTTGTGTTCTAAGACTTTTGTAATTCTTTTTTTTTTATAATTGATGGGTCGACGTTTGAACACTATCTCACCTGATGGTAAGCGATGATGCGGTCTACGTTGGAGCACGTCGTCCCATAAGCAACCTATTCACTCGGGCCTTGAAGACTCCCAGGTTATACCCTTCAGGAAATACAGACTCTGGCAAAGAATTCCACTCTTTAGCAGTACGCACAAGGAAGCTTGAAGCGAAGCGCTTCGTGCGTGTGGGCGGAACATCTACCATGAATCGGTGACGCTTCGCGGATTGTCTTGTGGTACGATGATGGAAAGGACTAGGGGGAATCAAATTCAAATTCAAATTCATTTATTTGCAAGAATACATATTTACAAAGGAAGATCTTATAGCCTCAAAGTCATTGTATTCTGCCTGCGAGCAAGCGTGCAAAGTATAAAAATTTTAAATTAAAGACACCATAATAATTTTCACAATTACAGTACAATATTTACGTTGGTATCATAGTCATAGACATGTTACATCTTAGTCGTAGATACATTACAGTCATACAATACAATCAAGTTGTGCAATTCCCCCGCACACTCCCCGAAATGTATCCGGTAGAAAACCGAAAGGCTTGCAACCTTACGCCTGTGTTCGAGGCTTTGAAGCCGAGCCTTCACAAGCGCATCATCGTCGATGAGCCTCCTGGCACGCCTCTCAATGTGCTCTAACGCGTCCAGCTGATATTTTGCCGAGCCGTCCCAAAGATGAGAGCAGTACTCCATACAGGACCGAACCTGTGCTTGGTACAGGCTCAGCAATTGTCTCGGCGTGAAGTACCGTCTCACCCTCCATAGGACACCCAACTTCCTACCAGCCAGTTGCGCTTTTGACTCTATATAGGAGCCAAAGTTGAGTGTGGGCGTCAGAGTTACACCAAGAAGCTCAAGATGATCGGTTATCGGTACGGGTACATTCCAGAAAGTAGGAGTCAGCGGAAATTGACTCCGTTTGGCGGAGTCTTCTTTTACTAATTGCATATTATACAGGGAGGATGGCGACTGGTGTGTACGTGTCGAGTGCTGCAAGGGTTGACGCAGGCGTTCATCTACCCCAGCACGCATCACCTCGTCAGCCAGTGGATGCCGCTGCAGGAGAAGGGGATCCTCACCACCATCGTGTATGCTGGTCAGTTGTTATAATACTATGAATGCATTATAAAATGGTTTTTTCCAGCTATGTTATAAGTCTAGGGGTGAGATTATAGACGACCCATGACTAACTGATATTGATAATGTCGAAAAAATCCTTAATAATTATTTTGATTTATATTTTTCAATTTTTTTATTAATTTCACAACAACTATACATCGCACGTAAGCACTAGCGCTGCAATAAGAATCATTGCACTTACAAGCCTGGAATACAGCAAGTTTGCTCTCCAGGGCAAACTCTTCGAACAAACTTACAGAGTTCAAACAATTTACGGTTTTAGTTTCATAAAAGTTAGGATCACGTCCGCGGAGTGTTACAATGGAATAATGGAACAGCTGCAGTTGGTTGAACTGCCAGGTGTCACATGCATACTGGAGTACTGGAGTAGTGGAGTAGTGGAGTAGTCGGTAACAATAAAGTCACAATGAGTCGACGCCGGCTGCATCGTTCGCTTAGATTATTCAGTACAAGTGGAGAGTTGAACAACAGAACGCATTAAGCCTCGCCCCCGCCCGGAAGCTCACGTAATTGGACGGTTCTGACTCAAAGTGCTCCGTTTCATATAAATGAGGTTTATTCACAATTCACAAGTATATCACAGCTACATGGTGCCACACGCCCTCAGCTTTGATTAGAGACTCTGTTTTTAGTTTTAGGAAAAATTGTCTGCGCTCGAAAAAATGTTCTGCAATTTTATACTGTACATTTTTTGCATACAAAAATGAACGAATGTTGGTCCAAACTCTAGTTTCTGAAATAAAGAATATTTTTTCGAAAAGATTGCAATATACGTTAGAATTTCATCTACGTGACGTTTCCATTTACCAAACGCGATGCACATTTATTTATGTTTAAATGGAAACCAAAAGAATTAACATATCTGATGAACCAAAGTTAAATTACAATTTAAACGCCACTAACAGCTCCACTCATTGTTCACCTTTCATTCAATTACCTCCTCAATTTGCAGTCAACTTAATTGTCACAAAAATAATACCGATGGGTACAAAACACAATAAATTGAAACTCGCTCAATTACGAGGTCACTAATTGAATGGAATCAAATTCTGTTTTATTATTCCAGGTGGACAGTTGGGGATAGCTCTGCAGCTACTGGCATCAGGGTTCCTTGCTACGTCCTGGGGCTGGCAAGCGATATTCTACGCCAACGGAACCCTCGGGACTATCTGGGTGATATTCTATTTGATCTTTGGCGCCGACTCTCCAGAGACATCGAGGTTTATCAAAGAAGAGGAAGTTTTGTATATCCAGACTTCATTAGGACGTGTGGGGGAGCAGAAGGTAAACGACCTTCGACACAAAAGTAAAGACAAATAATAGAAATACGTCTGTAATAGATACTCGTTACAAAAAAACATTGATGTATATTTTTTAAACAAATTAGTTTCTTTCAGAGATACCCCACTCCGTGGAAGAAGATTCTGACCTCACTCCCCTTCTGGTCCGTGATAGTGGCGCATTGTGGGCAAAACTGGGGCTTCTTTACACTCATGACTGAAATGCCTACTTACATGGCCAAAGTGCTTAATGTTGATCTCAAAAATGTAAGTTTCGAGACCTCTAGTCGATGTGATAACTTCCAACAACTTTAAATAACAATTTTTTGTGTTTCGTTATGCAGAATGGTGTTCTCTCTTCCCTGCCGTACCTCTCAATGTATTTACTCAGTTTCGTCATGGGATTCATGACAGATGTCATTATCAAGAACAACTGGATCAGAGTATCAAACACTAGGAAGCTATTTAATTCTATAGGTAAGGTCTTAATTTCCTAGTACTCTTTTTAACTCACGAAATACACACGAAGAATATGTTTTTGTAATAACTATCGTGAGACATACTAAATTAAATAAAAATCGCGGGTTATTCACGAAGAATACTTTTTTGTGTTTTGGTCAAGACTACCTCGTTGGCCGAGTGGTCGCAAATTTGACTACCGGGTAAGGGGTCTCGGGTTCGATTCCTGAGTTAGGCAAAGTATTACAGGGTATTTAAAACATCTCAGTAGTAGGAGTACGGAGTCTGGAATGTGTCCGGTATATGGCAATAGGCTCACCCCCTATTACATTACGTTACATTGTATGTACAGTGGTACTATGTGCCGTCATGTGCACTTCTGCCTACTCCTTCGGGTATAAAAAGGCGTGAAGTTATGTTATGTTACTGTATGTTACTGTTTGCAATATCAAAATATTTATATTAATTTTATTTACAGGTCTATGGGGTCCAGCAATAGCACTGATCGGCTTGTCGTACGCACCTGAAGGTAACATGGTGTTTGCAGTGGTCATGCTCACGCTCGCTGTGGGAATCAACGCTGGCCAGTACACGGGATACATGGTGAGCTCGAGTTCTATTGACAAATCATTTAGAAACTATGTTATGAGGCGAAATAAACAAGTAATCACAAACCGTACAGCAGTGTCACCGAGCCTGAGCAAGCTAAACAACTAATTAGACGCTGCGTCATCACTTAATAACGCCATAAATAACGGATTTGTAAAGTAAACACAAACTTGCAAGCTAACGTTGCAACAATCTGAAGTTATGATTAATGAAATGCATCAAGTTTCAGCGCTCCCGCCGTATATCATGCAACGTTCTGAAGCGTACGAAGAACACGGAAAGATAAACGACCACCCTTGTGTTCCGATAAATATACACTAGTTAACGTGGACGACACAAATGTTGGCAGCTCCTTTATCTGAGCGCGGTGGGCCTGTCATGACGGCGTTTAACAAAAATCTGCTTATCATTGCGCTTTAGAATTTTACTTTAGCGTAGCGACGGCTGAGTTAAGTAGGTTGTTAGTTTTATATTTATTCGTCGTGACAGGCTGTAATTTGTATAACATTTTATCTTTCTTTTTTGTAATACTCTGAATTAGGTATGTACGGAAAAAAAATCATACATACTCAGTCTACCGAGTCTTATGATACGTCTGTATTTACCAGTAGCTACGTGGTTAAGACAAGTTGCACGATTCTTACAAATTGATTTTGTATCTTCCAGTTGGTACACATCGACCTGGCTCCAAACTTCAGTGCGTGTCTGATGGGCATCACCAACTTCCTAGCCAACATCATCTCCATCATCGCACCTCTGGTCTGCGGCTTCATCGTCCACGACGAGGTAACACTTACTATACATGTCTACAGGACTGATACACGTGTCATCGTTATTGTTACCTCCGAGCAATGTGTTAACCTAAATTAAGTTTGCTTTATGTTCCCGCTTGCCGTAATATATGTTTTTAATAAAAATATATGAAGCTGTAGCCTACAAAGTTGTATTAATATATTTTGTATTACAGACGGAGCCGGCAGAGTGGCGCAAAGTATTCTTCGTTGCCTCAGGAGTGTACTTCTTCACAAACTTGTTCTTTATACTGTTTAGTACATCTGTGAGGCAGCCCTGGAATGAGCCTAAAGAGACTGATATCGGTAAGCAACACTCAACCTTATCCAGACGCCATACAGTTGAATTTCAACTGAGTATTAGAATTAATTAGTTTTTTAATATTTTCAGAAATGAAAGCTCCCGAAATGAAAGAACCTGAAAAATCGAGATTAGAAGCGAAATGGAGTAGCCATTGAATAATATTTATTTCTCTGTATTTTTGTACCTGAATTAAGTTTGATAATAATCTATTATATTTAATAAAAGCCATGTTTAGGATTACTCTTTGAAGATGTTTAATGTCCTTGTAAAGAGATAAAGTCTTTAGAATATTTAAAACACCAGGAGATTGAGGCACGTTTCACAAACCTTTCAGTTTGGAATGGAGTCATCTTTCATTCATCGTGAGATGTGAAAGCATTTCCTGGCGGAAGTAAATTGTATTTGTCCTTTGTGAACGAGATTAAATGTAGATTCATACATAGTTGATGGTGCGCCGACATCACTCGATATTGTTGTTGGAAGGAATAGTAATGCCGTGGAGCGGAGCGCGTGCCCTGGCCGTCATCCTTCTGAGAATTATTGATAGACTTGTAAGTCCTCGCTGTACCTTCTGACTGCTAACTTTCCTTGAATGTAAGCATGTGTACTGTGTAATAGCCAAGAGGTCGGGTTGGGGTCCCCAGCGTATTTAGCTTACCTTAGTTCGGTCCTCATGATGATAACAATAAATTTTTGAAGATGTTTAACAAGTAAAGTCTTCTGTCTGTGTTGAGAAACTCCGATTAGATTAATTCAAAAGCTTCGTTCAACAACTCGGAAAAAACTGGAAAGCAATTTGAAGAGCTCGACTTGATCTTGAACTTGATCGATTAATTCTTACAAGGTCAATGTTGAGCACCAATCTTCTTGAACTTAGATTTGAGGTAAATATGTTGTGTCACGCGAACGAGCCAACTAAATGTGACCACACATTTTAATGTAACTAAGATATTAATAAAATAAGAGATTGCCTTGTTGGCCGAATGGTTGCAAGTGCGACTGCTGGGCAAAGGGTATCGGGTTCGATATCCGGGTCGGGCAAAGTATTACTGGGATTTTTTTAAATCTCAGTCTGGATATGTGTCCGGTATATGACAACAGGCTCACCCCTATTACATGGGAGTCATAACATAAATAATGAAAAGTGGGTGGCTGTAAGTACAGTGGCATTAAGTGCCGCCTCTGCCTACTCCTCCGGGGATAAAAGGCGTGATGTTATGTTGTTATGTAAGAGAATAATATTAACTTGTTCGGTGATGTGGTACCTATCTGAGCGTACAGTGACTCCATAAACGAATAGTAAGGAAAAAAAATCTTATCTTGGCAACCAAATAAATAATGACCAACATTCGTCAATTGATATTCTCGTAGACCACACGTGTTACTTCATGATTCATCTCGTGGGCTTCCGGAGGTGATCCCAGGACTCGAGCTGACAATCGCTTCAAAATTCACATGGCCATTACCAGTGGTCTATAGACTACGTGGTGCGACTTGAAGCGACACTGCCCTAATACGTTACGTGTAATGAATGCGAGATCACAGTGAGTCATAGCCTCACAGAAGGTAACCTTTCGCAGTGTCGCTCGTGAGTATTGGACCCATAGTACGTGTGCCAGCAGATCAACGCACGCATTTTTTTCCATTTGATTTTAAGCTTATCACTTACATGATAAAGTCGAAATTCTAATAAATTAATTCGACAGAAAGGTATATTTTGACTTGCGGTTGAGAGTGTGCCACCGTTTCGGTGTAGGTACTGAGGAGCTCTTTAGATGCAGGAATAATATGCCGAAAAATTATTTATTGTGCCTTCAGATAAGGATGTCCTTTGTATGACCATTTGTTGCGAGTTCCAGTGCTACCTAAAGGTTAAACTTAGGACCTATGTGTTAGTTATGCAACGAACATATTGAAATGTGGTTTTAAATCCTTCAATTTTTTTTTAGTACGTATAGAGTTTTCTGTATAATATTTACTTACTATATAACAAATGGAATATTATTTAATGATTAATGATTTATTTGGCACTTATAAAACAATCCTGTTTACATGTATACCTACAGTTAAAATTATGATCATTTATTCAAATTTTATTAAAATAAAAGAATAAAACAAAATAATGTGCTATGTTAATGATTTAACCCTACATGAAAGTACAGGATACGACAGACCTAATAAAAGCAAATTCAATAAATACTAGCTTTTACCCGCGGCTTCGCTCGCGTCACAAAAGGATAAAAAGTAGCCTATGTGACTGTCCATCCCTTCAATTACCTTCAGTTAAAAAATCACGTTAAGTACCTTCGTTTTGTTTTACTTTATAGAACAACATCTATACCTACAAAAACAACACTTGAATATTCAAATCTACAGAGCGAACGAATACTAATCAATTAGGGTGGTAGATGCGTACACCGGAATACGATTGCTGTGGAAGCTCGGAACCTATACTTTCGCCGGTAACGAAACCATAGCGCCATCTAACTCGATCCTAACGCCATCTATCGAGCGTTGAAACAACAGCGTACAATATAATTACTAATTGTTGAGTATTGTAGCCACTGATTTCGTGTACCTTTAACAACCTAAAATCTCTAAAATACACAATTCATTGTAAAATGGTAGGAACCAAAATTTAAAAACGAAAAATACTTAAAAAACACAACGTTACCACGTTTTTAAAATTACATATAAAACAGCAAATAAATGAGTTGAAAAGTGCACCGAATAATTGTAGATAGCGCCATCTATCGCCAAGTAGCGTAACTACTTCATAGACACCAATTTCGTGTATCTTTAACAACCTAAAATTTATCAAACACACAATTCAATGTAAAATGGTAGAAACCAAAATTTAAAAGCGAAAAATACTTAAAAAACACAACGTTACCATATAAAACAGCAAATAAATAAGTCGAAAAGTGCACCGAATAAGTGTAGATAGCGCCATCTATCGCCCAGTAGCGTAACTACTATATAGATACCAACTTCGTGTACCTTTTACAACCTAAAATCTATAAAATACACAATTCAATATAAAATGGTAGGAACCAAAATTTAAAAGCGAAAAATACTTAAAAAACACAACGTTACCATAAAAAACAGCAAATAAATGAGTCGAAAAGTGAACCGAATAAGTGTAGATTGTGTGAAATTTCCAATTAGTAGGTAATTCGTTGAATTGTTTTAAATGGCATACAGCGCCATCTATACGAATACACACAGCGCCATCTATACCAATACTTTTGTTTTTCCTCGGAAATATCAATTTTTTTTGGGTTAAAAAGTACCCTATTATTTAATCCGGACTTCTAACTTTACGTCTGCAAAAATTCAAAGCAATCGGTTGAGTAGTTACGGCGTGATGGTGGAACAAACAAACAAACAAACAAACTCACTTTCAGATTTATAATATTAGTAAGGATAAGGATAAGGATAATGAAAAGTATTCATTACCAGTTATTCTTCAAGAGACAGAATCTAAAAAATACACAAAAATGAAAATGGCAGTTGAATATTCAGTTTGGAAATTTTTCTAGGGACAACTTTTTTAAATGCGCACGGAGTAGGTACCGACACGAATAGAAAACTACTTCGAAGTTTCAAATATCTAGTAAAAAGTAAGGAAGTAGTAAATTACAAAACGAACCAGTAAAAGCGCAGCAAGAGTTTAATTAAAAATAGAACACACGTCGTCGAGTGGTGTGCGCTAGCGTAGAGGGCGCTAGTGTGCTCTAGTGCCCCCGGGAGACAGTGTTCACTAGTGTTCAGGATGATTGTTCACTTTACTTACTATCTTTGGATTGAAGCAACTGATTTTTCATTTTTATTTTAATCTAGCTTTTGGAAAAAATACACGCAATTCTTCCAAACTGAACTTTTTGCTGAGTTGACATAATAATTGTGATTTCAGGATATACAAACTTTATATGTTAGTTTTAAAAATGTTATCTACAGATGATATACACGTAGAAGTGAGTCATGCGTGGTGTGTTACAGCACACAGTTGTGACCCATTCGAACAAAACACATAAACCATAGTTCATGCTTCCATAAAAGTGTGGCCACGCAGCACACACTATATCAATGTTTAATTTCAATTTCGGTGCAAGTTGGAGCGGAGTTCCCAGCTACCGCGTAGTTCGAAGTGTCTTGTAAATCAACAAAGTTATTATTGGGAGCAATTCTGTGGTAAATTGAATATCTCCGGAGCTAGTGACTGGATTGGCTGGCTAGTCAGGCAGCTAGTCAGGCAGCTAGCTCTATATATCAGTGTGGAATGTTCCCGGTCGATGCAATCACAATGCATTGGGGAGCGAATATTATTGGCAGCCATTGTATGTACCTCACCTCCGCCGTTATAGCAGGAATATGTTGAATGGCACGGTTCTGTTACCGCAGCTTCAATCAAACGGCAGATATACTGGCATACTACATACAGAGCGCTGTGACAAACAACTTCTTGGAATGATTCCTAAATGTTCTCTAGAGCGTATCACGAATTTCAGTTTCAATAAAGACTTTCCAGAATATAAGGTAATGTTACATCTTGATAACATGAAAATTATTAGTCGAGCTTTCATCAGCTGCTTCGATTTCGGACCGGATCGGATAAACAAAATATAAGTAAAGATCTTACTTTTCTACCTTACTTTGTTCATAAACATAAAGACAACATTCCATCATTTCTTGTACACTCAATTCATCCGTATGTCCCTAACTTACACAACCATTCCAGGAGTTGAAAACGAAACACAACAATTAAAATAAAGCGCGGATTGTACCCTGTAGTACAGTGGCACAGTGGCGGGGTTCCATAAATCAGGCGGGTGGTGCCGGCGTGTGTGCGCGCTACAATCTGCTCGTGGGCTGAATATACGGCCGCGGCTGAACATGGATACGCTCTTATTGTATGTAATAATAAAGTAATTTATGCTCCCAACAATTGCCAGGCCCTGTAGCTGTAGGTTTTTCATTAATTTCGACAACAAGACCTAACTTTGAACTCGCTTCTTCGTTTTAAAATGGAATTTTGTTGGAGGAGGAGATCAATTATCTTGTCTTATTCGTGATACAATTAACTTGTATCAGCTATATTTGTGTTTAGCAGCGTCGATGTTGCTGTTGCAATGTGTTCCCAAACAAGTCAATA